CCACGTTGGAAAGGCCAGAAACATATCTGAGATGAGTGGAGGTAAGTATATAGGGCCTCTTGTGGTCCACACTAACGAGACGTAGCCCTGTGCACTGTTTAGCTGGCGCGTCACGATCACATGACCGTGTTCCCCGGGCCGTAATTTGTATTCACCGATTTCGAGAGGTCGGTCATATCGGCAGTTACTACATAAGCAATAATAATTGCCTGGATGTATCTCGACCTTGGACACACCGTGTTCGTATTTGTTCGTACTAGATGCAAGCCGGACTGATTGCCCTGATTGCCAGCACGGCGGTATCACCTCAATATCACCTGCTAAACGAGTCCCACTTTTGATGGCAGTACTTTACTCAAGTGGGACTGTACTGGTAGGTCTTACGTGTACTGATGGTGGGACTGGTCGAGTCCCAATCCCACCGTTCTCGTATATACTCGGCCTTCCCTGCCTCAGTGCGTTGCAGCTCTGAAGTACTTGAAATTGTGTACCGCACATTACGACTCAGCTGATGACGACGAAGGAGCCAGACCGAATACATACTTGATGCGGCACAGATTTTGAATGGGTGTCGCTGCAAAGGCCGCCAGAGCGGTACAAAAATGCGTCTTCGAGGACAAATGGTGATCGTTCACTTGAAGAAGTTATTCGGTGTCGAGTTGAACGCGGGAAGGTGAGGGTTCGAGCCCCTGCGGAGACGTAGAGAATTAGCGACATGACTTTTGTTTCCTGTGGTGGATTTCAGTTGAACGAATATTTTATGGATGCGACCCATAGGCCAGACCCGACGAGTATGAGGCCGGCTCAAAAGCCCACCGCCGAAATCGTAAGGACCAGCTGATTGTTTTTTTTCTTTTACGAACGACAGGTTAGCGTGAGGATTGGGTGGAGAAATTTATTTAAATGGGAAGTGAAGTTAGTTGCAACTCCAGAATACGCCCATGGCAAAAGGCAAGGCACAAGAAATAAGCCGTGAGGCAACACGTGATGGACGCGTGTTCGAGAACTGCACCAAGCAACACCAAACACCGCGACCAGTTGCAAAAAGTCGACCTTCACGCCGCGCGAAGAGCGAAAAGCCCATTCTGGTATTTTCATCTCACCTCCTCTGACAATTTAAGATCTCCCACCTCTCCTATCGACGGAGGTGAATGGGGATGCCGTCTTCAAAGACCTGTTACTCACCTTCGACGCGTACAGCACCAAAACAAAGCCTTCATACCGACGCCCTGGCCACAAGCAGCGAAAATTCCGCGGTGCGCGGCGTCGACCTCCACCAGATGCGAAGCTGCACGACAGGGCGGTGCGGCACCATTTGAAACTCCCGCTTCTAGTGGGATGGGTCCTTCCGCAAGTGAGAACTGGAAACAACCTCCGAAGAGCACGCGCATAGGCGACCGAGTCCAAGGTTTCCCGCAGGGACGAATGATGCCCTGTAATTGGTACAGTAGTCCAAGGACGACATGCACAAAATCTGCCACATCCCCATTCCAATCCACAAACGCACGTCACCCGAGGACTGCGACAGACGTGTTGACCGCCCCGGTCCCCGTGCAACTCAAGCCGAAAACGAAACCGACTCGCCTACCCCGCCGCCCACGCGTCAAAGAAAGAATTCCAATCGCCATTGATCCATGGGCGCTCGTGGTGCACGGGGCCCCCGGTGAGGAAGAACGAGATGCGGGACGCGCTACACCCCCGCGAGTAGCATACGAAACGAGGTCCGCCAACATCGTCCTACGATCGAGAACGAAAGAAGAACCTAGACGCAGATTCGCCTGGGCGTCACGAGGTCCCGAGTGCGCACAAGCGACATTGCAGAAGGGATAACGCCCACAGTGTGAGGCGCGCAAAGATGCGTAAATCCTTCCACCGGGAAGATAATAGGCTGACTGCAAAACAGCTTCGACTCGGCGTAGGGAGTGGAAGGAAGGATGACGAGGATGCAAACGGCGCGAAGGAGGAGGAATAGGCGGGTTCCTTTGTGGGAAATACGCCAGATATAGCCGAGGGCGGGAGTGAGGACGGCGGAAACGAAGGGCGTAGCTGAATTCTGAGACCTAAGGCAAGGCGCAACACATATCGGCGAGAAGATGTCGGGCCGGCGCGCGGCAAAGTGCCTCGTCGGTGGAGGCCAGCACAAGCGAAGGGAAGGTAATTCTGCACGACGTCGTCCAGCGAGATGAGATCTGGCGGTCAGGGAATGAAAAGAAGCACCGCTGAACTGCAACCCGACGCTCGGCTGAGGATGACACAGGCCAGACAAATCAGGACGAGGAGTGCAGGGCGAGGAGTTGAAGAGTTGAGGAAGCGGAGGCGCGGTGGAATGAGGTGAAGAGCGTCGCGGGGAGCGATGAAGCTCAAATAACTACGGCGCCGCCCACGCTGAGTCGGCGCACGCGCGTCGCTATGTCGGCCCAGAGGAAGAATAAAAAGGCCCGAAGTTGCGTGTACATTACCTGTAGGCGCTCGACGTAGCGGGTGGGAGGAGAAGAGAAAGATGTGATGTGATGTGGCGGTGCTGCCGTGTTTGGAGCCTGAGGGCAATCAGCGGGAGCCTCCGGGCCGGACTGGGTTGCCAGGAGCCAATTCGTAGCTCCCTCGCGTTCCTCTTCAACACGCTGGATTGAGCTCCGCAATAACGCTGCCCCCTCTGTGCTGCTTAAGCCTATTCAGCATCTCGAACAAACCACTGTTCACGCAAAAAATCTGTGGAAATCCGACTGGAGTGCGCAAGGGGCTTCGAAGATAAGCAATTTCCTTTTTGGGAGGGGGGGGGGGGAGGGGTCCCTCGAGCTCGAGAATTTTTTTTCACACCAAATTTTACATTTCGTTCTACTGCCTCAATATGCACATAAAACACCTCAAGAAATATTTTCGATTTTTTCACTATTGCCGAGATTTGCCGAGGTGCCATCAGAGATCAAGGAAAACTTTGTCCTCCGCAACGAGTCGTCCGGCAAAGCCGGTTGATCTTAATCCTGCATGGAATCACGAATGCCGCGATGCCACCACTCTCATCAAGATTGCCGTCCACTGGCGATGGCTGTCTGACAACACAGTGATAAGACTTTTGTATGCTCCTGAACTTGTTCTCATTTGATTCAATATGGTCTGGCTGCTCTATATACACCAGCTATCACATCACTCTCCCAGCTTCAATTGTTGCATTGCCATTGGCCCATTCTCAAGACAGTCTGTTCATTATGACAAATTAAGCCTTCGCACACCGGGGCTGGGGCAAGTTTGTTGTGCAAGAACATGATATGCATAATTACCGGACTTTAGGTCCGTTAGAGCATGTTTTCACTACTTCAGCAGATGTGGTTGTGTCTAGAGAGAAATTTGGCGCCTCGGATATATTTCTTAAAATGGGAATTTGATCGCATCACCCTTACGTAGGGGGGGGGGAGGGGTCCGAGGTCTCTGAAAAAAAAAATGGAAGGTGTGTTGAGATTTTCGCGAAAGCAAATCCCCTTGGGAGTGCGTCATCTTTGGAAAAAATCAAGCTGCAGGCTCCCCTGGCGCGTTCTCCTCCAACCACTCCGCCTGGTACTTGTTTTGAAACAAAATCTGGCGCTCGAGTCCTTGAACCAAATCTAGACGCTGCGGCCTCTGTGCTTACAACCACTCAAATGCTCCGACAAGCGGAAATTCACGCAACAATGCGCGGAAAATTCTGGCTCTATCTGCACACATGATTCTAAAAACCCAGGCCGCAGCGCTATCAACGTGCAGCTCTTTTGTGATGTTCTGTTCTTTGTGGCAAGGGCTAAGACTCTCAGAGGGGTACCTTCACCGCGAGCAAAAAGCGTTGCAGCACCACCACGTCTCCAGAGTCGAACCCTGACCTTACCGCGCCGAGTCAACGCCATTCCCTTGCAGGTAATCACCTTGATCCTCGAAGACATACTCTCCTACTGGCTGTGCGGCCTTTTTCTTTGCGACTTTTCAGCACTCCAGGACCTCTGACGCGTTCAAATTTCAGTGAGATTCAGACTTCTCTTGCGCCGCGGGTGGTGATAATTTCTGACTCGGTTACGAGGACAAGAGATCTTTCTAGAAGAAAGAGGATCGTGGTATGATCTTACGTCTTCGCAGGGATTCGAACCCTCACCTTCCCGCACTAGACCGCTTGGGCGTAGGTAGACGAGATGATCACCCTGATCCTCGAAGACTGGTTCTGGTACTGCTCATGCGGTCGTTTTCTTCGAGGCCTTTCAGCGCTCTACCAACTCTGGAACGTTCAAATTTCAGGTTTATCTCTAAGACTGACTCCTCTTGCGCTGTGATTTGATTGAATTGTAACTCGACCGCCACAACAAAAAATCCTTCCAGGAACGGCGAGGTGCGATTGAAATACGGGGACACAGAATATTCACTCATTCTTCCGCACAAAAAGAAAACGCATTCTGCATTATACCTCACTTGCGAAGTCCTGTCTTCATCCTGTTTGTACTGGCGTTTTCTTCGAGGCTCCCCAGCGCTCCAGGAACTCTGACGCCTCAAACGCTTAAGTTTTTCTGAATCTCCTCTGGCGTCGCAGTCGCTTTGCTTCACGCTTGACCTCCTCTTGCCGGGCGGCTCTGTCTACCGGGACAAGAACACGTACTTAAAGCTGCTTGTGGACCGCAGTTCGTTCTCCAGGAATCAACCACTGGCACAAAGTCCGAACCCCTCCTTCAACTGCCAAAGAAGAAAAAAGCATGCTCGGTTTTTTCTTACGTCTCCGGAGGCATTCGAACCCTCACCTTCCCGCGCCATGTCAACCAACTCTCAATTAAACGGGACGATCACCATTGATCTTCGAAGACCCGTTCTGGTGCTCCTGGAGCGGTCGTTTTCCCCGCAACTTTTCAGCACTGCAGAAACTCTGACGCGGCCCATCTCAACTTTTTTCCCCGAATCTCCCTTCGCGTCGGGATGTGGCGACGATGAACTTTTGGGTTGACTACCGCAGCAAGAATTTCTTCAGGGAACAAATATTCGGCGAGAAGGTACGTCTCCGGAGGGAGTTGAACCCCCACCGTCCCGCTGATTATGACGCCGACCTACACAAACGGGATGATCACCCTGATCTTCGAAGACGTTTTCTCATCTTGCTTGTTCCGCCGTTTCTTCAAGACAATTTTGCATACTGCCGGAACTCTGACGCGTTCAAGTGCCAGGTTTCCGGGAAAAAAGAGAATCCGCGGCCGAGGTGCTACGTCTTCGGAGGGATTCGAACCCCCACCGTCCCGTTGATCTTGACGCCTACCCAACACATAAACGGGATGATCACCCTGATCTTCGAAGACTGTTCTCATCTTGCTTGTTCCGCCTCTTTCTTCAAGACAATTTTGAACACTGCAGGAACTCTGACGCGTTCAAGTGCCAGGTTTACCCCCAAACTCCTCCTGCGCCGCTTGCGCCGCGTGTGGCGATGAATTCCTGTGTGGATTCCGCGGACAAGAAATCCTTCCTGGAAAACAAATCCCCGGATATGCGACGTCTTGGTAGGGATTCGAACCCTCGCCTTCCCGCGTTCACTTCACCTTTGGAAACACTTGAACGGGGTGACCACCCTGATCTTCGAAGACCTGTTCTCATCTTGCTTGTTTAGCCTTTTTCTGCAAGTCAATTTTGAACACTGCAAGAACTCAGACGCGTTCAAGTGCCAGGTTTATCTCAAACTCCTCCTGCGCCGCTTGCGCCGTGTGTGGCGATGAACTCTTGAGTCGATTACGCGGACAAGAAATCCTTCGGGGAAAAAGGAAATCCGTCGATATGCGACGTCTTCGGAGGGAGTCGAACCCTCACCTTCCCGTTGACGTCTCAGCCAACACGACACACGAACAGGATGATCACCCTGATCCTCGAAGACCTGTTCTCATCTTGCTTGCTCCGCGTCTTTCTTCAAGACTATTTTGGACACGGCAGGAACTCGGAGGCATTCAAGTGCTAGGTTTGTCCCAAACTCCTCCTGCGCTACTTGCGCTGCATGTGGTGATGATCTCTGACTTGATTACGGGGCCGAGAAATCCTTCCGGGAAACAGAAAATTCACGAAAGTTGTCGTTGAATTCTTTGGCCGGCCTGCTCTACAAGATCTTATAGCATTCCCCACATCCAGTCTCCCCCCCGCAGTCTCAAGAACCCGTGAACTTTGTCTTCGGCGGAATATTTGTATACCGCCTTAGTAAACTGGAATATCTGTATACCGCCTTAGTAAACCAAGTTGAGTTTACTCAACTCCGGATGGAAATTTGCCGAGGTGCAACCGTGGAACCTCAAGCTTAAAATTCGAAAACGAAGGTGTCGATAAGTAATCTGACGATGCTGGCCGAATGATTACCGGAAGGACCGTTCAAGCATCTTCCTTGTGACTCAAACGTTAACGTTCAACGTTCAACCCTGGTTCATCTTCAACTTCAACTGATGTGTGGATCTTCTCACGTATTTCGCCTATCAGTTGTAGGGATGAAAGATGAGCCGGCCAAGATTTTACATAAAGGGACCGACAATTGGGGACCGAGTCACTTTCCTTTTTCCTCATTCCTCATGTCGTCCACCACTTCCTACACAAGCGTAGACATCACTGCCTTCTTCTCCCAAACCTCAAAACTCTGGAAAAATGACGGAAGTGAGCGCGCTTTCAGTTCCGCTGCAGTTTCCTTCTGAACGCGGTCCCCCCCAGTTCGCAGTTTATTCCCCCTCGAAAAGATTCCAGGAATGATTTCCCTCCTTGCTGGTGGGTACCCGCTCCCAGGTGCACGAGAAGAAGCTAACCCGTGACCAGGGCGGCCGAACTCGTCGACGTTTCCATTCGAATCGATCACGATGAAGCTGAAGCCTGCGCTCGCGGGCATGCCCGCGCCGACCGGTGAAGACGACCCATTCACCATCACGTTGCAAGACGAGGAATTAAACGAGGCTTTACAGTGGGTTTCTCCCCTCGTGGTTAACTTAATTTTAATTTCGCTTATTTATCAGGTACGGAATGACCGCCGGTGTGGCACGCCTCATAGACGTGCGTGCGACGATGTTACAGCAGAATATCTAGCTGATGCATGAATTAAGTGGTTAGCAGAATTTCAAACGCATACCCACAAGCGCGTCCAGGATGGCAGCTGGGACATCACCATCGGTGCTGGCAGTCAGGATGTGATGTACAAGGTGGGTTGCATCTTCTTTCCCTCGAGCAAGGTCAGTCTGAGACCACAAGAACCAGGCCTGCCTGGCGCTCGTGGACGACGGTGATTATTTCCTCGTTGAGACACCCGTGTACCCGTACGTTCGTTTCGTACATTTTAATTCCTCAGATTTACCTGTGCAATTCGCGATCAAGTGGCGCTTTGGGTTTCCTCGCGGCCATGCCATGTACCCTCATCGGTGCGCTGGTTTTTCGTCGCAGGAAATCAGGAGGTTGACTTCCTTGCCCTGCCAGAGGTTCACACCGACGCACAAGGCCTCAATCCCGCAAACCTCGAAGCCATTCTATCGACCTGGGAAACCACACATCCGGGAAAGCCGTATCCCAAGGCGTTATACACAATTCCATCCGGTAGCAATCCCACTGGCGCGTCGATTCCAGAAGAGCGTAAAATTGAAGTGTAAGACGTTCTCCACGGGCTGAGCAATCGCATATTGATGGACCTGTTCCAGCCTCAAACTCGCAAAGAAATATAACTTCCTTCTCCTCGAGGACGATGCGTATGCCTTTCTATACTACGGTCCGGCGGGACAACAAGCGCGGAGTTATTTCACTTTGGAGCCCGAAGTCAACGCAGAACAGGGGCGGGTCGTGCGGTGAGTTATTTACGGTGGTCTGCGAAGTCGATTAACGAACAATCATTCTCAAGATTCGATTCGTTCAGCAAGGTACTCAGCAGTGGTATGCGGCTCGGGTACATGACCGCCTCCCCAGGGCTCTGCGCGGCGGTGAACCTCATCACCTCTAACACATCGTTCGTCCACACTCCTCACATAATGATATTGTTACCATAAAACTGACGTATTCACCCAGCCTTCAACCCTCCACGTTCTCGCAAATCATCGCCTACAACCTACTCTCCCGCTGGGGTCCCTCAGGCTTCCTCGCCCACTGCGCCGGCGTCGCTCAATTCTACCGCACTCGGCGCGACATGTTCGAGCGCGTCGCTCACAAACACCTCACCGGCTTAGCGGAATGGACTACACCCATCGCGGGCATGTTCCTCTACATCAAGGTTCGGTTTAACCATTTTCCCTCCCTTGCTTCCCTCCGAACAGTGTGATTGAACCTCATATAAATTTGCAGCTCCTTGCTCACAAGGACGGCCGGGAGGCGGATTCGTGGGACCTCATCAGTACAAAGGCCGTTGCAAAGGGGGTGCTCGCGGTCCCGGGGACGGCGTTCATGCCGCTGCGCGGGCCGACGCCGTTCCTGCGCGTGAGTTTCAGTATTATCGAGGAGGATATGGCGGATGAGGCGTGTCGAAGGTTACGGGAAGTGATTCTGGAGGCGAGGGCGGAGGCGGAGGCGGAGGCGGTTTCGCGCGCGGACTAGGCCGTGGTTTAGAAAAACTAGAGAGCATTCAACTGCTTTATGGAACATTCAACTGTTCAAAGCATCCAAGCATGTCAACCGGTGCATCACCTTTCGCCTATGTGGGGGATCCAAACTGAGTCCGCTGACGATGCGTTGACCCGTCTGAGTTGACCTATGGTTTTACTTTTGTTCCAACCCGCTTTGCACAGAGGTAAGTAAAAGAATTCCTCCGGATGCCGAAAAAGCCGACATCATTGGAGCATTCCAACAGCCAATCACAATGCGTCGATCACTATCGGCAAACCTCGTCCTGCCTCCCACTCTCATCTCGTCGGCGCTCGCAGTCTTTTCTTTGTGTGTTTGGCTTTGATTTGTCGATTCCGCGAGTCGATTTGCAAGGATTGAAGATGAATTTCAACGGAAAGTCAACGGAAAACGACCTCGGAAGCGATTTCTCGGCGATCCAGTGACCTCGAGGACTTGAGCTGCTGGACGCCGAGGTGCCTGACGCATAATCATGCTCCGATTCTGTCAGAGCGAAGGGACCGATATTCACCAATCCGCGTGCCACCCCGTTACTCAGCGGAGTCTGAGGAGGAATGACCGAAGGAATGGCCGATGCAAAAACAATTTCGAATTAGGCTGCATGTGAGTGCCGCAACCTCACGGCACACAGGAAACGGTTGAACTCTTCAGCTCAAGATACGGCGGACAGTATCCGCCGACGGCGGACAACGCCAGAATGATCCGCTTCTCAACGGGTTGAACGCCCGATCCGCTCGCTGAAATTTTGTCTATATAGATGTCGACTCCGTGACTTTCAGGAACAATGTCTTCTATCGCAACCATTGATATCGCTCCCTTCCTATCGCAAAAGTCCAAGCTCTGGAAAAATGATGGAAGTGCGTGCATGTTTTTATTCCCTCAAAATCTTTAACCAAGTTCTGTTCACAGTTCGCAGTCTAATGGCGCTAGAGAGTACTCCGGGTATTATCTCACTGCTTGCTGGTAGGTTTGACCTCCCTAAAACTGGGTCATGAAAGCTAATTCACGCCCAGGAAGACCCAACTCATCAACGTTTCCCTTCGAATCCATCACGTTGAAGCTCAAGCCAACTCTCGCCGGATTACCTCCCGCAACGGCCGGCGCCGATCCTTTTACTCTGACCATAGAAGGCGAAGATTTGAATGAGGCGTTACAGTATGTTGTTTCCTCTACACCCCGGCCCGACTCAGAATTTAACATGGGCAGATATGGCATGACACCCGGTGCACCACGCCTCCTCGATGTATGTGGAACAATATCCAAGTGTCCGTGCCTTGACGCCCAATTACAGTGGTTGACAAACTTTCAAACCCATGTACACAAACGCGTTCAAGACGGCAGTTGGAAGGTAAATGTGGGGTCGGGGTCTCAAGAGTTAATATATCGAGTGCGTACATGAACGCGCCGTGAACCAAATCTCTCTGAATGTGGTAAAAGACATGCGATAGCCTCATGAACGACGACGACTTCCTCCTTATCGAGACCCCTGTGTACCCGTACGCTCTGTTATCTGGTAGTCACTCAGTTTTTAATTGTCCGATCTTGATTCAGTGGCACGCTGGGCTTTCTGGCGGCTCTTCCATGTACCCTCATCGGTACGTTGATGTTTATTGAATAAGAATCCGAGCTGACACGTTGCTTTCAGAGGTCAACGCCGACGCCCAAGGGCTTAACCCGACACACCTCGAGACCATTCTGTCAACATGGGACACCACCCATCCAGGGAAGCGATATCCCAAAGGTT